GTGCCCGGCGGGGGGGGGGGGGGGAAGGCTGGACAGCACCCCAACCTGGACTAATCCATGGCTGGTCCCGAACTATACTGAGCACATGGCGATTCACTCCAGTATATGTAACCTATCCAGGCATGCAACACTGGTTAAGAGAGACGCAGTGATTGGCTGGTGAACTGCACATACACTCACAGTGCCCCTCATTGGCTGTCCCACACTACAGTAGAGTCACACTCCACCCAGGTAGGTACAATCAATGCCGGGACACCTGGAATTAACCAGATAAATGTCAACTATAATCCAGCCAGACTGATTACAGCCCCGGCAATCACTAAATTTCTATTAGCCACCTCACAAAAGGTGATGGGGCTACACATGTATGATGTCAATGCAGCCAGCCAGCTCACGAAGAATAGCTAGGGACCTGGGAAAATGGGCCTTTCACAGCCAGGGACTGCATCTAGCCAGGCAACATGAACGCTGTTTGGCTATTCACTTCTGGCTTGTACGGCTGATTTCAGTCGTACATCGGCTGCCTTCGGTCAGCCGAACATGCTCTGCATGAGTGAATAGCCGAATGCTGCCGAGCAGCATTTTGCTTAGCTATTTTGCTCGGTACCTCGGAGGTACCAAGCAGAATAGAAAAGAAGTGTAAATTTTTTTTTTTTTAAATAAGGTTGCAAGATTTTAAATATGTTAACAAATCATCAAATTAAAAAAAGAAAACATTTTTAAAGAAAGAAAAAAAATAATGGGCGGAGCTAGTGGTGACAGCTAGCTCCGCCCAACTGTTTTCTATTGGCCGGCACCTGCTAGAGTCCTCTAGCAGGTCCCAGCCAAAGAATAACAACTGGGCGGAGCCTGGACAGCCCAGCTTTGGCTGTCACTTTCTGCTCAGTCAAGCCGAAGCATATGCGGCTGAGCGGCTCGTTTGAGCAGCCGAATAGCCCGTACAGCAGCCCTTGACTGAACCGAAGGGCTCCGGCGGCTGAACATAGCCGAAGGATCAGCTGAAGCTACGGCTGTATCCTTCGACTCAATAGTGAATAACCCCCCTAATGTATTATTGATTACAGAGCTGTATAGATATGTGTCTATTATATCATCCTAAAGTTTGGCTTTAGGCAGTGAAGTGGCTTGATGTACCATGTTCTGCGTGTATGCAAATTGAGTTCAGTTTAAAGCAATGCTTTGGTTGTCACTAAGACAGGAAGTGAGGAGAAATGTTCAAATAAATACAGACAGTAATTAAAACCTGAAATGGGCTTAACTATTCCACACTCTCTACAAAACTTTAAAAAATGTATTAATAAGTCTAACATTAAAACCGGATTTCCCGAAAGTGAACAACTTCTGGGATCTGACATCACAGACATACATGTAAACACAGTAAGCCAAACAAATGAAAACCTATGCAGGTCACTGGCCTCCTGAGACTGTGACACTGACCAAAGGTAGAGTGATAGCAAACAGCCGTGGTAGCAGAAAGGAGAGGAGCAAGAACAGAGAACAGACACCATGAGGTACGTGGGTTCCCAAAACCTTATAGGAAACCTGCACTGCAGGCTGTGATATCTGAGCACATTCTTACTTAGTCTAGATGGGCTCAGAGTCCTGAAGCCATCAGATCAATATACCAGCCCGGCAGCCAGCAGTTTTAGAAGGAGGTTAGCAATGGCGGCCTTCATATCTTTCTCTCTGCAGATCTCCTTATGATATAGTGTGCACGTTCTAACTTGAGCCATTTCACTAAGGTTCTATGGCTGAATCTAACATTGGCTTGCCATCTAATTAGCTTATTGACCAATGTATACTTCAAAGCTGTAATGATTCACTCACAGTCACACTGTGCTTGCAGATCCCGGACAGCTTGTTCCCGCTCCTCTCCTCTCCTGGAGTGCATAGAAAGGTTTAAACTTGCTGGAACTCCATATGCTCACCTCTGTTATCTGTTGGAAATTCCTCGGGGCTGAGGTAAGCTCATTCTGCAGTCCCACACCTGGCCTCATTATTAGTGTTTATAGAGAGGTCAGGACATTCAGCCTGTGCCTGACCAATGTCTCTGTCTCTCTGATATATGTCCGGCTACCCAGCAGTCTCTCTCTCTCTCTCTCTCGCTCGCTCGCTTTTGCAATAGCATGCATATCCTAAAAATGTCTAAAACGATTATATTTTCTCCCGATGCCCTGCTTGTATGAATGACACAGATGGTAGCAGTGCTATCTTTGACTCCACAGTGGCTCCAACAGTTAGCTCCAGCTATCAGCTCCTCTACAAATGACTGTATGTGTACCTCAGAAACGATTACTTCAGCTCCACTTTGACACCTAATAAAGTAAAAGAAATAAATATGCAGCCAGATAGACATTGTACTCAAAACCTTCATATTGGCTTACCTCCACTTTCCTGTTACAGCAGTTTTTTGTAAATTTACCTTTTCCATATGCAAGCCAGGAGCAACCAGACCAAAACTTCAGGATCTAACCTCATTGCATGCATGGCCTTGCCCTTGGGTAGGGGAGTTATGGAGGACAGGGATACTTTCAATTTTCTCTTTTTCCTTGGCCTTAGACAAATGAGATTCCATGCCCTTCTGAGCTAAGTTAGTGGCCCTAAGAAAACGCACCTTCTCTATATTGCCTCTCACTGTACACAAAAGGCCATCTCCATTTATTGCTTCCCCTCCATGGATCTCCCAGCCAGGGCCGCCATATCTACAACATGGTACAATGTATGCTCTTGAATCTCTGTAAAGGTGCCCATACACTGCACGATTCTCGTACGAGAATCGCGGGAAATCCCGCAATCTTACGAGAATCGTGCAGTGTGAATGAAGACGTACGCCTGTTTCTACTGTACGGTCGCATGTCTTTTGTCTAAGGAGCACGCTAGAAAACCAGCCGAGAATTGTACGATTTTCGGCTGGTTTTAGCATGCTCGGGAGACAAATGCCGAGCGGGCTGGTGTGCGCACGCGCACACTGCCCGTTCGGCATTGGCGTCATCAGAAGCCCGCCCCTCAGGGGGGCGCAGCTTGCGATGATCGCAAGTACGATCTGCCTGTCCAAGGGTGCCCACACACCTTACGATAATCGCAGGAAATCCCGCGATCGTACGATTATCGTAAGGTGTGTGGACGCCGTGCAACCTCTACTACTGTAAGGTCGCACGACTTTAAACTTACGAACATGTTCGAAAACCCGCCGAGCATCGTACAATGTTCGGCGGGTGTGTAGCATGTTTCGTAAGATAAGAGCCGGCGTGCGCAAGCACACACTGCCCGTTCGGCATTGGCGTCATCAGAAGCCCGCCCCTCAGGGGGGCGCGGCTTGCGATCATCGCAAGTACGATCTGCCTGTCCAAGATAGGCAGATCGTATGTTTTTTTAAGTACCTTACAACCATCGCAAGACAAAAGTCTTGCGATGGTTGTAAGTTGTGTGCCCAGCCTTAGTACCAGTGCCAGATCTTGAAACCCCTGCAGCTGGGGTTTGCTTACTGTATGGAGAAAAATGTTAATACCAATTAAAGATGTACCTGCATTGGTTACAATAAAGATTGACAAGGAATTAACACCAGATATACATTTTTAAAACTGTTTATGCAGAGAAGAGTCTGGAACTTCCCTTGGTACCATGTCCATATTTTGGTCACTACTTCCTGAATAGAATAAACTGTGATCTCAAATATCTTTGTCCTGCAGACTCTGGCATCTTCTACTCATCGGTATCGTAATCCTCCCACATGCATATTGCATACAACTGACCGGACTGTATGGAAGGATTGCTTCTCCTCGGTTTCCAAAGCCGTACCCCAATGAACAGAACCTGACCTGGAACATCCAAGTCCCCGAGGGATATCGGGTCAAAATCTACTTTACCCACTTCAACCTGGAGCGTTCTTTCCTGTGTGAATACGACTATGTCAAGGTACATTCCCAGGGAACTGATGTAATGTGGTCTCAAATGGTCATAATAATGTATCAGTGAGTGCCGAACCTGCAGAAGGCAAAAGAGGAGCTGCAGTTTAAAGCTGACCTCCAGGCAAACAGCTAAATACACAGATGCGAAATAAAAAAAGAAAAAGAAAAAAAGCCTGACAGGTTCTCTTCAATTCAATATGGGAGACAGGGCTTAAATGGTATGGGGGGCAAGGCTTAAAACAATGCTAATAGGGTTATTCACAAAAGGGTGAAGAGTTTGGAGAAGGCCGGAGAAGAGAACAATCTAGGACAACATAGCTGAACTAGAAAGTGAGCTGAATTGGATAATTTTTCCAAATTAGCTATATTGTCCTAGATTGTTCACTTCTCCTGCCTTCTCCAAACTCTTCACCCCTTTTGTGAATAACCCTGTTAAACTTCAACAAGGCAATCTGGAATGGGGTTCTGACAAATTAATGAAGACAGAGGGCTGTTCAAGAACTCTTACCCTCACCTTGCCAGATGCCCGTGTTTCCGACGTGCCCTCCTTTCCAGTGCTGTAGCCTCCTTCAGTCCCTTCGGCATGTGACACCTTGTCGGACGTCTGAGTTTCCCAACACGTGTTGTGGTTCCTTCTTCTGACCCCGACATCTCTACTGAGTCTTGACAGACTGAGGACATCTTGTGACGACAAAGAGTTACAGCGGGGGACAACGCCAGACAGGAAGTGGGTATTGCAGCCAGACCTGTTTGTTTGTTTTTTTAGCTAAAAATACAAAATGATCCTGAAGTTGGAATTCAGTTTTTCTTAAAGAGCTCCAAGATACAATATAAATAAAATTAAAACAACACTGATACACGGAGCATTATGTCTACCCCTTCAAATGTTGCCACGCTTATCCCTTACTTTGTGACCTTCTATCACCTGTCTTCTGGATGGTGAGGCAAAATAAGGATGAAGAATAAATGCTTTTGATATACACATCTCCTTCATGAATAGTAAAAAAAAAAGTATTTCATAATGAAGTCATTACGAGGATGTGCATTATGACAAATTATATCTAATTGGTGTATAAGAGTAATTGTCTGACTTCCAGGACAACGGTCGGAGGATTAGTAAAACTCGACTAGGTGTTAAATTTGCTGGACACAAAAAAATGTACCTATTATCCCTGGTAGGCAAACCATCAGTATGAGTTATGTGTAACGAAAGCCTTGTTCCAGTTGTAATAACAATTATGTTTATCTTACATACAAAAAAAAAAGCTGGATTTGGTTTTAAGGTTGATTTAAAAATACATTTACATCATTTAATCCAAACTGGAATAAAGTGATCCTGACCTGGTCTGACTCACTTCTAAGATGACAGCAGTGCGAAATTCCGTACCTGTCTTCAAATGGATCCCTGAGTCTCTGTGTAGTCTCTTGAATTCTAGGCTTAGGATATACTTGGTGCCCTGGTTCATGCTCAAGCTGACTTCACGTGCTGCATGCTTGTTCAGGGTCATCAACTCAGAAAGATTAAAAACCAAGGACAGCCAGGCAAGGAGAATCTTCAGAAGGTAAGCAATTGTCAGACAGCCCATTAATTCCGCTCCTGAAAGGCTTCCTTTAACACTGGCTGATCATCACAGTAATAACTTGGGGTTGTCCTACAAAAAAAATCAATGTTTTTAAGTTTTATAAACATAAATTTATATTTATATGCCGCATATAGCCAACATTCACTACCATATATATCCACAGCTCACTTCCCAGGGGAAGGACGTGGCCCACTTATGTGGCAAGGAGTCTACTGACACAGAGAAAGCCCCCGGAGACACAACCTTCCATTCCCTGGGCAATACGATGACGGTAACATTTCGGAGCGACTACTCCAATGAGAAGGAATTCACCGGCTTTGAGGCTATCTACGTGGCTGAAGGTAAAGTAATACTGAAGTATTGCAGTCTGGTTTAGACTCATGTTATGTTAGCCAAGGCTTGGGGGGTCTGTTTGTAAACAATTTGCAGATCCCTTCACCATGAAAATTTCTGTGAACGTTCGCTCTATGCGAATAGAGGGAAAAACAAATGTTTATATTTTCTTGTGAGATCGATTGCAATGTTATACCGCATTATCACCACTAGATGAAGCTCAGGAGCATCCGGAACAAGCATCTCTTTTCTATGCTCCTCATCCAAGAACTTTTGTTTTTTCCTCTATTCACACAGATTGAGCGTTACCCTACCTGCTAGTAGTAGAAATCTGAACATTCCCCTACAGACCATAGAGAATAGTCCTGGTATTATAGAGGGCAGGGCCATGTTAGGGAATGGTTTACGGGACACTGATAAGCACGTATAAAATTGTATCGGTGTCCCTGCTAGATCCTCCCTCTCTCTTGGTTGCCACCAGGATAGAAAGTGATAGGGAATCCAAAAATGTTAGTTGACACCAGACCAAGGGGTCGAGGTAAATCTTCCATCTTCCATTCCATTCCATTTGAGTGTCAGGTGACTCAGCCTAGCTCAGCACACTCCACCTATACCTGAAGCATGTCTTATGGGAAGACTGACCTTCAAGCACATAGTAAGAACACTAATAATCATTATATGGCAGGAATCATGGTATATTGTGATGAAACTCATACCCTTCCCTGTGTCCTCCAATCCAGATATAAATGAGTGTGAAAAGCAGAACGAGGAGAAGAAGAACTTATGTGACCACTACTGTCACAATTACGTCGGCGGATATTTTTGCAGCTGCCCACCTGGTTTCGGTCTCCACACAGACAAGAAAACCTGCATAGGTAGGTCTACAGGCTTATAAGGAATGATTGCAGACATCCCAACTCTCCCGGAAACTCCGGGAGTCTCCCGCTATTAGATAGTGGCTCGGGACAGGAACATTTTCTCCCGGGAAAGGTTACTGTGCTATATCTAGCAGAGTAAAACCTTTCAATGCGATCTGTTTTTTTTTTCTGACATCGGGGCCGCCGTTAGTCAGAGAAAAAAATAAAGCATAGGAATGCATAGCTACATTCCTATTGGCTATTTCACTTTGCAATAGCTAATAGCAGACTAGCTATTGCACCCGCCCTCTGCTGCTGTCAGTCAGTAGAAGGGGACCTGAAGTTCTCCATCCGGTCCTCTTCTAGTGATTGACAGCAGCCGAAGGCGGGTTCAATAGCCAGCTTGCTATTGGATATTGTAAATTGAAATACCCAATAGCAATCTAGCTATGCATTCCTATGTGGTTTTGTTTTTTTATTCTGACTGCAGCAGCTCTCAGATTTTAAAAAAACCAGCAGATAGCAAAGAAGCTATTGCTTCCCGTGCTATCTGCCATCATTTCAGGGGGGTGCTCTCCCCCCGGATGGGGGGGGGGGGGATAGGGCACCTCCCTGAAATGAGAAGGGCACATCCCCCCTGAATATACAGCTCGCGGTATACTGAGACCGCCGCAGCTGGGACGGATCCCGACATTACTATCCAGATCCAGATTACTATCCAGATCCTCTAGATAGGCAGAGCCAGCAGGATTGACCGCTGGCTCTGCCTATCTAGAGGCAGAGCCAGCTGTACCCGCCCCCTCCCCCGTTCGTTCCTCCAGTAAGCGCTGGAGGATCAGAGCGGGTAGTGGGGGGAATCTCTGCAGGGAGCCATGAGTGACAGTCACGGCTCTCTGCAGGAACATGATCGAGAAGTGAGCGAGCGACGGTATGTGTTCCCTCACTTCCCGATCTATTGAGTCGACGTGTGACAGTTTCATTGTCACGCGTTGGCTTGAACTATGAGGTTGAGTGAAAATCACTCGCCTCATAGTTCTCCTTTAATTCACAAAATACCTCAAAGATCCTAAATTGGGTTTTAGTCAGCTTCTAACAGATTAGAAACATCGGCTGTGTGGTTACATTGGAGGGCTGTCAGGCTGTCAAGATTCAGCAGCAAAATAAATGAGAAATGAAGGATAGTTTTAAAGTGCTTTTACTGTCTGTTCACAATATGTACAAACATTACACACAGGTTCACTTTAAAGCAGACCATACACATTACAATCTGTACAATCTTCTTCTACCAACCATAAACCTTTCTTTACCCCATTGACCCCCAATCACCATCTCAGGTTTAAATGTATTTCTCTGCCTTAGTTCAGTGCAAGGATGACACGTACACCGCAAGTACAGGTGGCATTACAAGCCGGTTGTCTTTCCCTAAAAATACCAACTGCGCGTACACCATCCAGGCGGAAGAGGGTTCCTCCATTCTCCTGAGGTTTATGCACCTTGATGACATTGAGTCACATCCAGATGTCCTGTGCCCCAATGACCGGCTGCAGGTGAGGAATTGCTGTGTGATGGTGAATTCCTAGAATAGACTGTAATAATGTTATTCAAGCTCCTTTATATGTCCAGAGGTATGTGAGCACCCCTTCAGTTGCGGTGTTCCCAAGGAAGGGTATTGTTATTGCTACTAATACTTACAAAGACATTTTCAAAAATTGTGGTCTTCTAATCTTGTGGCAACAGTCTAGATCAGGGGCGGCCACAATTTTTCGCCTGGAGATCTACTTTTCAAATGATGAGCTTCAATGGCAGTGCATTGAAGTCAATGGCACCGCAGCCACGCCCCCAGTGCAATAGTCGCACCAGGAGTGCAGGCGTTCTGGTCCAGTACGATCTGCAAAAATGCTGCATTTTTGCATATTGCGCTGGACCGGAACGCAGGCATTAATGTGCCTGCGTTCCGGGTGCGGGCGATCACACTGTGGGCGTGGGGGGCGTGGCTGCAGTGCCATTGACTTCAATGCACCACCATGCCCCCTCCCGCCCCTGAAGGCAGGGAGCTGGCTGGCTTGCATTCCAATGTGTTCTAGAGGCCGAACACTCTGGAACACAGACTTCTCTCTCTCCTCGCGCTCTCTCTCTCTCCCCTGTTTCTATCTGCTGTCTCTTCTCTCTCTCTCTGCTGTCTCTTCTCTCACTTTCTCTGCTGTCTCTTCTCTCACTTTCTCTGCTGTCTCTTCTCTCACTTTCTCTGCTGTCTCTCTCCTGTCTGTCTTTTCTTACCTCCACTGCAGCAGCTTCCCAAGTCGGGAGGGCAGGACACAGGTCAGTGAGCCGATCGCGATCTACCTAATGGGCAACCCTGGTCTAGATGCATTACTGTGCTCCATGCTCAGTCATGTACAACTTCATAAAGACATGGATTAACCAGTTGGTTGTGGAAGAATTTAAGTGGCCTGCCAAAGCCCTGATCCGAACTCTACTGAACACCTTTGGTATGAATTGGAAAGCCAATTGCGAGCCGGGTCTTCTGGTCCAACATCGGTACCTGACCTCACAAACGGGCGCAAATTCCCACAAACACACACACAAATCTTGTAGCAAACCTTCCAAGGAGAGTGAAAGCTGTGCATTCTGTAGGTCACCATGCAACTATTCTAACAGATTCTGCACAAAATATGGATGTTCACTGTGGGTACCAAACTTCACATCTGTGCCGTCCTAAAACTCGCTAACAACTTACAAACTGCTAAAGCCAATAGGCACTACTCCGTACTCATACTCTTAGACCTTTCTGCCCCCTTTGATACAGTTGACTACCCACTCCTCCTCAAACACCTTCAGCGTCATCTACAATGACAGCTCCTCTTCCTATTTCCAAAGGGGTCCCCCAAGGTCCTGTCCTTGGACTCTTTATTTGCTCTATTTATACCTCCTCCCTGGGTCAGTTGATAGCCTTCCACAGCTTTCAATTCCATCTCTACACTGAACAAACCTAAATCTGTCTCTCGACTCAGCTCACTCCTTCAGTCTCCTCGTAGTTCACTAATTTACTAACCTAAGAATGAATGGCATTCTCTTTCAAAATCTGAGCTCATAATATTTCCTCCCCCGTGTCCCCTCCCCCAATTTTTCCATCAAAATCAATAGCATTTTTAATAGGTCCCTGTACTCATGCCTGGGTGCTAGGTGTAATCCTGGACTCTGACCTCTCCTTCAGGCCCCACATCCAATCACTGGCCAAATTCTGCCATTTTACCCTCTCTAATAGTCCGAAATTAACCCCTTCTTAGCAAACGTCACCACAAAGCTACTGATTCACTTCCTGGTTTTATCTTTCCTTAACTATTGCAACTCCCTTCTTGTTGGCCTACACAGACTATCCACCCTTCAGTCTACCATGAATGCTGGTGCTATACTCATCCACCTCACCAACGGCTTAGTTGCTGCCGCTTTCTGACAATCCTTCTACTATCTTTTACTAGCACAAAGTATAACATTCAAAATACTAGCAACATACAAAGCAATTCACACCTCTGCCCCGAGTTACATCACCAACTCCATCTCAAAATGTCATCCAAAGTGTCCACTCCACTCCTCCCAGGATCTCCAGCTCCCTTGTTACCTCCTACCATGCCCGCCTCTAGAACTTCTCTCCCATCCTCCCAACTCCCTACCCCAATCTGTCTGGCTATCTCCTATTCTGATACCTGAAAACTCGTCTCTTCAGAGAAATCTACCTCACCTCTACCTAAAATCTGCACTTTCTCCATCAGCTCATCCCTTACAGTTATTACCTCATTTATCACTTTTAGATTGTAATCCCTCCAAATCCTCTCGTCTTGAATTGTATTGTAAATGTACTGCCTCCCTCTCTAAAGCAGTGTGCAAACTGTTGGCGCTATATACACCGAGTGGCCAGATTATTATGACCACCTGACGTTTGTAGGCAAATTAGCTATAATTTGGCGCTGAAGTTGCTAGAGGGACAGACCATTATAAATAGGGAAGCGGGTTGGTTACCACAACAGTAGTGATTTGTTTCTGAAGATACGGGGAAACAACGCTCTCGCCCTGCAGCGCTCGGCCGGCTGTCACTTTCTTTTCTCCCCGCTGGAACACAGAGCAGCGCCCAGCGCGGGAGAAAAGAAACCAGGGATGCGCCGATGTATCGGTGCATCTCTACTGAAGTTGCTAGAGGGCCAGACCATTATAAATAGGGAAGCGGGTTGGTTACCACGACAGTAGAAGTGATTTGTTTCTGAAGATACGGGGAAACCACGCGATTTAACAGCCTTTGAATGTGGGATGATTGTTGGCGCTCGGAGCCATGGAGCGAGTATCAGCAAAACAGCAGAATTGGTTAAATGTTCAAGAGCAGCTGTTGTTAAAATGTTTAAAGACCGGACTGTCAGCCAAAAATCTGGGTCTGAACGTGCGAATTGTGGCCGTCAGCGACTAGTCAATGTTAGGGCAGAACGGAGAGTGGCAAGACTGATACAAGACAACAGAAGGGCAACAGTGCCGTGTCAGATTCCTCGCATCACCTTTCACCATCTCGTGGAGTCACGAGGCGGCCCAACGAAGTACTGATGGGGTGGTCATAATAATCTGACCACTCAGTGTAAATCCTGTATAACAATAATACATTTGGGCTATGCGAGGGTATGGAAAACTTTTTTAAAGGCTGGTCTACAAATTCCATAGCGCACGTCTGGCTGGGAGGCCAACTCATATAGCTAGCCACAGATCCCGCTTCAGTTCATTACCCAATCTGTGTCCTCAGGCCATCTGTAAAATCCGAATACAAACTTTTTCCTGGCAGAAAATTTACCATTTAACATTTTTAAAGGTCCATTTCTTCTACAATGTCAACAGCCAATTTATCAGCCACTACAGTATGATCCTGTTTTGCGTTTCTCTTTATTTTATCCGAGAATAAAATGTTCCCAAAAATGTGTTTTCACGGTTCCTGTGTTCAACTTAAAATGAAATGAAAATGCCAGAAAGCACTTAGATTTATCTTTGGCCAACGTGTGCTTAAATGTTGCTACTTTTTAGCACTGACACAGATCTAGATACCAACAAAATGGCTTCAGTTTCATAAGCGCACAAAAAATCAATTTGATAACTATGACACTTCAGTTATTTGATACGCTGTTCCCGGGGACTTGTGTAATTTTCCAGTTTGTGCACTGTTTAATCTTCATTTACGAATTGACAGAAGCTGTCCAGCGAAGGCCAAGAAATTCTGCACTCCTCTCGTCCGAAATTAATGTGACCTGAAACCCTAGCACACAATGCTGAGGCACCGCAGGTACATGTAGTATCTGAAGGGGAAGAGCCCTTGTTGTTCTTAGTAAGCAGATCATTCTCCCACACTGCACCGTGAACATGAAGGAAGAGTCTTGTAACAAGGGGATTGTTCCTGCTTGTGTATGAAAACCGTCAGACTTCTCGCGTTCGTGTACATACATTTAATTCCTGTCTTATGGGCCAAAGGTTTACTTGATATTGGTTGGCCAGGCTTAATTTTGTTATTATTTGTTGCTATCGGATTTACTATATTCACTGCTTTTGCACTAGTGTTGTTTACAGCAACCGCATTTCATGTTTAAAGTTACATTAAAGTCAAACTTTCTTTCCCCCTTCCCAATCCTGCTGTAAGGACTTACCTTAAATTATTCCTCTTAATCCGATCATCTTCTTCTTTCCAGGAGTTTTTAGCTGTCCCTCCAGCGCTGGGTGCGGGTCTCCGATCCAGCGCTGACTCCTCTGTCCTCCTCTTCTCTCATGTCCCACGGAGTCTGTGCGGGTGCACGCTGCCCCATAGACTTACCTTGTGTATCTCCTCGTCTCCCGGCTGAACATCTGAACTGCACATGAGCCCCAAGACCCTTTGCGGCCACCCGAGAAATTTTCAGATGTTCGGTCGGGAGCACGCGGGGAAGACACAGGTAAGTATTAACCCTTTCAAAAAGTTTTTGTTTTAAAAAAAAATAATTTTGCATATATCTACTGCTTGCTAGCCATAGCTTTATGCAAAAACATGCGAGGGTTGAATAACCCTTTAACTTTCCCAGGCAAGTTAAAGTCCACAAACCAAAATTGTCTGCTACATATTAATAATAATCAGTCCCAATATTCCTCATTCAGCAGAGGTTCTGAGAGCAAGGGGTCTGGTTTGCCAATAGCAACCAGATAGTTCCTTTCATTTTGTAATGCAAAAACAAACATCTGGTCGGGGTTCTCTGTACTGGTGGGGGACACCATGCCACCATCACCATCCAAAATCTTCAGTCGTCAGTAATCTGTTATTTTGGGAACACATATTTCTTAATGTGCTTCTGGGAATCATGCCTGTAACTGTCATCCTTACAATGCCTCATGGGACTTGTAGTTCCACAACAGCTTGAGGGCTGGAGTTGCCCACCCCTGGCACTAGGGGATCTCATTATATACAATTTGCAGAGCCTTTCTCCCTGCAGATATCGGTGAATATTTATTTTGGGCAAATAAAGCCAAAAACGAATGTTCTTATATTTTCCCCCAGTTCTAATGTAGTTTGTTGTAATCATTCATTATGGCCACTAGATGGAGATGAGGAGCATATGAAATACATATTCACTTCCTATGCTTCTCAGCTCCATCTAGTGGCCATAATGAATTATTACAACAAACTACATTCGGGGAAAACTACATCTAGTGGCCATAATGTATTATTACAGCACTGCATTTGAACTGGGAAAACTCTATTAAGCACATTAATTTTCGGCATTATTCGCCCAAAATGATAATTTACAGATAATTGTTTATAAATATACCCCAAGGTATTTCCAACTTCACTAATCAAACTCTCTCCCCAATCATGCACACCACAGTTATAAGAAACTATACATGTACATACAAAGTCTACACCACAAGAACATAAGGAACCAGCTCTAAAAGTCATATTAAAGTGAACCAAGGGGCAGGCATGGAAGGAAGAAAAAGAAGTGCCGCTTACACCTGCTGCACAGCATGCCAGGTCTTTCAAAGCCCACAGTGCGCTATGATACAAAAAGACAACCGAGTTTTCAAGTCATTGGCAATGACTCTTAACCCTTCTCTAAGGCCACCCATTACAGTGATGGGCCAATAGAAAGGTACATTCGGTGAGAAGAGGCGAGTGCTGCCAACCAGGAAGTTGATTGTTTTGAGAATGCCATATGGGGGATCCAAGGCAGTCTGCAGACACATGGAGGTTCCAGCCGAATGGTGTAAGTAGTGCTTCGGAATGACTCTAGCACAGTTGTAGAGTTTACTGGACAACAGCAAAACTGATTTTACATTCTGTCTGTATGTTTTTCTGCATCTCACAGATTACAGTCAATGGTAAAGACACTGCTGTACAGTGCCGGGACAGACTACCATCAGAGATTGATACAAGGAGTAGTAAAGTGGACATTGTTTTCACAACAGATGGATTGGGAACTCACACAGGATGGAACCTTCAGTACACAGTAAAAGGTAAGAGCGCCAACAACCTTTTCTAATTCAATTGGCAGCACTGCCCTCACATACAATGCAGAGCTCTATTAATCTTGCATAGTACTTGATGACGACAAAAGCATCCTAAAGAAGAGTCTTTGGGGGACTGGTCACATGTTGGGGATGCCTGCCAGAGGGAGAAATTAAGTTAGTATTACAACCTTTTCCTCTACCCCTAGACCTAACAAGCATTTAACCCTTGCAGTGTGGAGGTGGGAGTCACAGAGGCCCAAAGCAGACAGAATGCTGCCCATGGGCACCATATGCTTTCCTGCATCCGATATCCATGTGTACATAGCCCAGTGTCATTCTGCACAATACAAGGCATGATAACTTCAATGAATAGTGCATGCTGGGAAGTCCACACGTCATTTTGGCCACATAATGCTAGAACTGGAAGGCATTGGCACAGATAAACTATTGTTGTGGGCTAAATATTTGACGCATGGAATTCTGGATGCCCCCTATATAACAGGGTTTGAAATTAAAGATGCTACTAGTGTGCCAATTTTTAATAAATACAAACTGGATAGTGGTTCTAACCCTTCAACCCTCAAAATTAAAATCTATTTTTTTTTTAATTAAGATTTACCTTTCGCTATACTTCAAATTGATAAATGGCTGAGGTTCTGCTAAAATAAGCTGCTATAACATTTTAATTTTTTTGGGAGTGAAATCAACTACAAAGCAGAGAAAAGAGAGAACAGAAGTTCTGCTCTACAACACCCGGTTCCATGATTTATGGGGGTTGCTGGCTGCCGTTGACACGCTGGTTATTTAGATTTTTCTTGTTGGGTTGGGTAAAGAATTTCCACAGGAACCGCACAATCCGTGTAATTCACTTAACTGGCAGGCCACGCTTCCTGGCAGTTCTCCAGCCCACTGGCGGGAATTAATGATAAGTATCTGGCTGCTTTCTATGTTCGAAATGCTCCAAGGTGAGAAGCAGACAGAGGGGCTTGTTCTAATCCAATATTTACATTTGTGTTAAGATATTCTTGTTTCTTTGAATGAGGTTGCTACTTACCTACTCATTTGTAAAGCAATTGGGTCATGGACAGATCTGCTTATCACAATGCAGCTGGTTAACTCATGGGTAGAAAATCACATTTTGTTCTCCACACTAGTCCATGTTTAGCTCTTTCTTGTCCTGATCCTGTGCCGCCACCTCGAGGACATTTTACACCTCTGTATAATTAGAAAATGTAGCAATCGGTGGCATTCCCCCTCTGCCGCAACTGCTACCGCAGATTGGGTTGGGAGGAAGGGGTGGCAGTAAGAGTTTTGATCAGGCTTGGGTGAAGTCAGGTGAACTGAACTCGCACCAAGCCCAGCCTCATCTCTTCTGACGATCGAAGAAAATGTAGTCTGGTCTGATTTATCTCAACTTCTGCTGAGTCACACAAATGCTAAGCCAGTCACTGGATCTAAATCCAATAGTACAACTTTGGGATGTGGTAGAATGGGAGATTCACAGTATTAATTGGAAGTTGATCACTCATGTTAACCTGGACCAGAAGACCTCCCTAAGATTTACAGGGACATAGGAACCAATTATAGCCTAAGGGCGCATGCCCCATATTAAAGTGGATGTTGGCGGTGCTTGCTGCCCGAAAGCATGAAGCCGCTTCTGAAACTGAACTTTGATTATTTATACTCTAAATTTAATGGAGAGGGTCTCGGGGGACAGACTGCATACAATGAGGGAAATCCACTTTTGAGACAGCTGTCACTAAAACAAGTGTACCCTTCGGAAAATGTCCTCTCTATAGTTGTTCCTATTCTGACCATCTAGGTACAGACAATCACACCTGGATGCAACCAGTTCACTTCCAGATGTGGTCGTCCATAGGTAATCACAGCTTGTGTGATTACATGCACATGGCCTACAAACAGCTTCGGGTGGAGTCAGCTGTTATTGTACAGTACAACTCCTCCGCGAGATCGTATGAGTCTCATGGTGGAATTGCCTGGAGATTGGCTTTAACTGGGTCGTGACAGACATTGCGCTAGAAGATGTTATTCTTTCTCTTCTCAGAAAGCTGGAATGTATGCTCTTTGTCAGGTTTTATTGATAGTCCCAAGTCTCCTCTGTGCTATGTCTAGATACTGTACAGAAAAAGAACTGTCTTTACGTTTGGATCTATAAAGCCACGCTTCAAATCCCTGAATACCACATAAAGGAGGATGAGCAACAAATTAGATTTTGCTGCTGCTGCACGCCTATGATTTTAGGGTAAGCAGGGAAGAGTTCCTTGGTGGCCATTAAAGAGTTAAATATAGCAGACCACTGATTGACCTGGTCCAAAGTGCATCATATACAACATCAGCATCCAAAACAGCCATCATGAGACAAGGCAGAAGTGCAGTAATTTCTTGTATGAATAAATAACCACATATCCCGATAGGCAGTTATTACATTTTGGCAGGTTCCTGTAGTATAGAGAAATGCATTTTGCTGCAGGTAAGTCATCAACACCCTCCCATCCCCCACACCCCGATTATTGTCTATAAAAAAGTGGTGCAAAAAGGAATTGGTGCAAGACATTCTGGTAAACTATGTGGTATTCCAACTGGTAATTATGGTTCAACAATGCATGCTAATTACCAGTTCATTTCATCATAAAATTACCATTAAAGAGATATTTGCATGCTATCCTGAGTGATAATTACAAGAGGTGAAGTATATCTAAGTCCCACATACTGTATTTTGTTAAGCTTTGGATAGAGTATGGAAGGGTCAGAACCTCTGACATGGTTTTATTTAATGTCTGTGTCCAAGCTGGGGACGTTCGCTCTCTCCATTTGTCCTGGTGACCACTGTCTCTAAAACTGAATGTGGAGGAAAAATCTAAAAATTTGAGTTGTCACTAAAAGACAAATAGAGAGGAAATCTTCAATGGGGACACATGTTTTGGTGACATATATCTAAATGGAATTTCACTCAATTGTGAGATGTTCACTCTTATTTCCTGTTTTGTCTACGCCAATGATGGGTAACCAATCAGCATGGTGCTCAATGATGTGATCACCATGAAAGCCAGTTATAGTTGTCATAGGTTTGTTTTCTAACAAAACCTGCCAGTGACAGAGAGACATAGTGACAGTGGACCCCAGCAGGTCGCTATTGTTTCAAAGCCTCACAGTGTGCAAATAGATACATTTAAAAGGTTCTAATAAACTAATTAAAATTGTTCAAGTGTAAAATAACCAAAAATGCATTTTAAAACATTTTTGTCCATTTGGCAACTGAAAAAAACATGACCAGGGTATGTAATATGAAAGCGTGCCAAATAAAAGCTTTAAAGGAGAACTATGAGGTGGGTGCTTTTCACTCACCTCATAGTTCTAGCCGACCTGTGACAATGAGACTGTCACAGGTCGGCTCAGTAGATCGGGAGGTGAGCGAACACATACCGGCGTTCGCTCACCTCTCGATCCTGTCATGGCTCTCTGCCGTGACAGGGGAGGGGCTGGATTCCCCCCTCCCAGCTCCGATCCGCCAACGCTGACTGGCGGATCGGACGGGGGCGGGTACAGCTGGCTCTGCCTCTAGATAGGCAGAGCCAGCTGTCCTCACGCAGCTGGGCGGATCTCGACATCGATGTCGGGATCCGCTCCGGCTGCGGCGCCTCAGTATACCGCGAGCTGTAGCTCGCGGTATACTGAGCTTAGGGTAACGGGAGGACGCTAGTTTGTGTCCTCCCGTTACCCTAAGGAGAACTATGGGGAAAAGCCCTGACCCCATAGTTCTCCTTTAAATGGCTTTTAAATATTTTACTATTATTATTCATATTTCATTATTGTCAAGTTAACTGATGCATATGGACACTCCTAAAACTGGTCAGTGCATCTTCAATGACCTCTAGTTACAAAAAGGATTAAAGCATGCATCGTAGGTAAATGATGCATTATAGGCACGCAGAAAGATGATACAAAGTTACAGTTTGAATCAAGCCCAATATCCGTATATCGTGGGCTGTCCAGTGCTAAACCTAGAATCTATTTTTTAACAACAATAGATAAAAGTGTCCTTAAAAAAAAAAAGATACCATTGTGCTTGTGTCTATCAACCCAAAAAAATGGATACCGTATCAAAGCACACATACTTGATTCTAATAATTGCCAAACTCTTCCATACTACGAGGGCACAAGAAGTGGTGCTAGTATTGAATCAAGCTTTATTTAAGTTATCTGGCCTTATGGGAGGCAGGTAGGTTGCTTTCCATATCTCTGTGAACTGATCGAGTAGGATTGAACCCTGTCCTGCTCCACCTGAGCCTGAAATGGCTAATAAGGGGGAAACATTTGTATTTTCAGCAAGAAGAGACATTTTCCTAAACTCTTTCTGGTAATTACATAGAAAGACCCTAATAATGCCACTTTTATAACACGGTATAGCTCAAAAAGACTGATTATAGAACGTTTCCTTTATAAAGTGGAAGAAACATACCAGTGTAGTGTGTTGTAGTGGAGTGTGTAGTAGAGTTTTTAGGATAGTAGGATTTATTAAATAACAATGCTCATGAAAAACCAGTGAAACGTCCTCAAGAAAAATACAGCAAGCCCAGTTGCCTTGACTTATTTTGTACAGACATACCATGGCCTGGATGAATGAGAACCTTCACAGACATTGTTACAATTGGATACTGCACACTAATGCAATTGCACTAAAACTTTATATTTGCCTTGACATCAAGTTTCAGATGTTGCTGCCACAACCTACAATAAAGCTACTCTCAACAACTTTCCCCCATCAGATAACTGCAATGCATCTATGTATCTCTTGCATGCCGATGATTCAGATATAGCCAATATCCAAGTGTCTTATGACATATCAGGTCCTACATATGGACAGTCCTTTCTTCTGCACTGAATGGTGCACATGTAATGATATGTGAGCAATGTTCAGTGCTGTAGTATTCTGAGTTCAGTCTCACATAATGACACCCAGTAGGTCTGTGAATGCTCAATTATATATTCGCATAGAAGTCATTTATTTTTCTAATTCAGCTAGAGCAGGGGTGCCCACAATTTTTGTGTTAAGATCTACTTTTCAAATGGCGAGCTACATGAGATCTACCAACAAAAAAAAACCTCCCTCGCGCTCCTTCTCTCTTGCTCTCCTAACTGTCTCTCCTCGCTCTCCTGGCTGTCTCTCCTTGCTCTCTCTCCTGGGTGTCTCTCTTTTGCTCTCTCTCCTGGCTGTCTCTCTTTGCTCATCCTCCTGGCTGTCTCTCTTTGCTCATCCTCCTGGCTGTCTCTCCTTGCTCTCTCTCGTGGCTGTCTCTCTTTGCTCATCCTCCTGGCTGTCTCTGCTGGCTGTCTCTTCTTGCTCTCTCTAAAGTCGCTGCTCTGCAATATTATAGGACACCGGGAAGCTAGACCTCCTACTTCTCCTCCTTTCGTGCTCAGCCCTCCATTTCTCTCTTTGCTCATCCTCCTGGCTGTCTCTCTTTGCTTATCCTCCTGGCTGTTTCTCCTTGCTCTCTCTCTCTCGTGGCTGTCTCTCTTTGCTCATCCTCCTGGCTGTTTCTCTTTGCTCATCCTCCTGGCTGTCTCTCTTTGCTCATCCTCCTGGCTGTCTCTCCTTGCTCTCTCTCGTGGCTGTCTCTCTTTGCTCATCCTCCTGGCTGTCTCTGCTGGCTGTCTCTTCTTGCTCTCTCTAAAGTCGCTGCTCTGCAATATTATAGGACACCGGGAAGCTAGACCTCCTACTTCTCCTCCTTTCGTGCTCAGCCCTCCATCCTAAAGTTGCTGCACTCATGCTGTCGGCCTCTGCCTTTATGTGTCAGACGAAGCAGACGGGGAGGGGCTAAACAGACCATAGGAGGGTTCTCGGGATAGTGAACCGACTTACAATCGTGATCTACCAGCATCAGCTTTGTGAGCTACTGGTAGATCACGATCTACCTAATGGGCACCCCTGAGCTAGAGTAACTGCCAGAAATTTGCCTTTACACTGAGTTGGATACAAGACAGCTGAATGCTGGCCTTCAATTTCAGCTGAGATCGAAAGGAAGGCCAGTGGTGAAACATCTGAGGAACTATCTCTAAAAAATAAGTCAAGGCAACTGGACTTGCTGTATTTAAAAAAATAAAATAAAATACAGGACGTCCAGTTGCCTTGACTTATTTTTACAGATATACAATGGCCTGGATGAATGAGAACCTTCACAGACATCTGAGGAACTGCAACATTTGATAGATGTTGTCACCTTCTTCACAATGAATGTGCATTACAATTGTATAGTGTTTTATATGTTTTAACACTGTAGTTAGCTTTTTGTCTAAAAACTGCTTTTGGCAGCTCATTTTTTTTTTTGTGTTCTCAATAGTCAATGGTTGTGGACCCCCAGAGGATGTAGAGAGTGGGACTTTCTCCTTTGTTACCACCATAAATGTGACTACATACAATTCAATAATCCAGTACAACTGCAAAGATTTCTATGTGATGAAAGACGACTTAGGAAAGACCTAAACGGGGAAATTATAGCTACAATTATGTAGACAATTTTCTGGCCTCGTCTGTGGCCCTGATTTTAACGGAGTTCTACAACTATATCCGCCGGCTCCTGTCAGAATACCTGCACGGAGTTTGCAACCTGCTGGGCGGAAGTGTGCTGACAGCGGCACCCGTGCAGCAAATTTTGTCAGGTTCATCAAGAACTGGCTGAAATTGGCACAGTGCATAGCCTAGCTAAGTCTGCCATAATGTTCTTATATGATGCGTATGCCAGCACATTATAGCAAAAAGCTCCTGGGAGCCGGCTTGTTTAACACCGTTACTTCTGCTTTAAGTGTACAATTTCCTTAATATTAGACACATCTCTCAATTCAACAATTACTAGCTGACATGGCCAGTGAGGGTCCAAAATACCAAAGCAATTTACTATTAACGCAAACATGTCACAAATGTGAGCAAATCAAACTGAGCATATGATGAAAAATAATAAGCGAATGTTCCCTTTGGAGAAAACTGCAGGTCAAAAGTAGATCATTAAATCCAGAGATGCAAGCAGCTGGGGTTACAAGCAAATCTTATTTTTACCTTCACAAGTTCAGCTTGACTCTGTGTCCCCGCTGCCTTCCCTATTGGACAAGTGATGGGTGGCCTTACTGAATAATAGGGAGGGCAGGTTTGTCAAAGTTTTACCTTTAAGCAACTACTTGCTCCAGCAAGAACGTTCCAGTTACCCTGGCAGAGCATTCTGGGTCATGTTGCTCTACAAATAACTACAAATATTCCTGGCTGACAGAAATATACAAAATGAAATAATGTTCTTAAAAGGCTCCGAACTCATAAAAAACGTTTAATGAAAAACACATCACCCATCTTCCTGATGACTAAATTCTGTTAGGAGGGGTGAAATTCATCAGAGGGATGAGGGAATGGCATGTTCTCTCAGCTTCATGAAATACATTTTGGAGGAATTGTGGACATAGGCCTTTATTTTGGATTTACCAATGTATTTGTGATTGTAGACAGAGCCTGAGGATGGCACATGCTGCTGCAGATGTGGGGCTGACGGGGGAGATTCGGAGGCGTCTTCTGGGTCGCCTCATAAAACATTTCAATTAATATTTTTTCTATTCCCCACTTTAGTGCGGTATCGATGCGGAGCTGAAGGACAGTGGGAGGAAATAAATACTGGGAGGAAAACACTGCCAATATGTGAACCTGGTATGTTCAATTCAGAGAGTCCCTTAAAAGTGTTTTAACTGAAGTGAGCGAACACATACCGGTGTTGGCTCACTTCTCGATCTTGTCACGGCGCCCTGCCGTGACAGGGGAGGGGCTGGATTCCCCCCTCCCCGCTCCGATCCTCCAGCGCTGACTGGCGGAACGGACGGGGAGGGGGCGGGTACAGCTGGCTCTGCCTCTAGATAGTCTAATTGTCGGGATCCGCTTCAGCTGCGGCATCTCAGTATACCGCTAGCTGTAGCTCGCAATATACTGAGCTTAGGGTGACGGGAGGACGCTAGTTTGTGTCCTCCCGTTACCCTAAGGAGAAATATGGGGAAAAGCCCTGACCCCATAGTTCTCCTTTTAATATTTCTTGTATACATGAATCATTTACAATGACCACCAACCAGAGGCTTGGGAACCACACGTGACTCCTTGTAGTCTTTAAGCAGGTACTCAGTACTTCTCTCTGAATATCTGACCACTTCAATTAAAACTTTATATTAAGTAAAATTAGGTATTTTGCAATTATTTTCCTCAGGGTGGTCAGCACCTTATACCTCTCTAATAGGCACAAACATAGAACGTTAGTCCAATCTCTGTAGGCAGTATAGTAAAGCAGCGAGAGGATGTTACAGTAATCTCATGCCACCTTCCGTCCGTTTAGTATAGTCCCTTCCGGATAACCTGCAGCTCTTGCTGTAACGGAATGTAGAGAGTTTTTTTTTTTTTTTTAATGTTAGGAAATGAAATGTATTGCATTTACAATGCAGGGCGTAGAAGTTAAAGGGTTATTAAACCCTCATTGGTTTTCGCATATATCTACTGCTAGGAAGCAGTAGATATATGCAAAACGATTAAAAAAATTACTTTTTCAAAGGGTTAATACTTAACTGTGTCTCCGCCGCGCGCTCCCGTCCGAACATCTGAAAATTTATCGGGCGGCCGTAAAGGATCTTGGGGCGGGCGCATGCGCAGTTCAGATCTTCGGCCGGGAGACAAGGAGAGACACAAGGTAAGTCTATGGGGCAGCGTGCACCCGCACAGACACCGTGGGACATGAGCGAAGAGTAGGACAGAGGAGTCAGCACTGAATCAGAGACCCGCACCCAGCGCTGGAGGGACAGCTAAAAACATCAGGAAAGAAGTAGATGATCGGATTAAGAGGCATCATTTAAGGTAAGTCCTTACATTAGCAGTACTGGGGGGGTGGACACTTTTGCCCTTAATGTCACTTTAAAGAAGTATTAAACTTTCAAACTCTTTTCAATTACGAATACAGATCTATCAAATACACATTGCCCAGCAAAGTATTTCCTTCAATTTCTGCCCAAGCACTTGGCTACTGGCTCTTGTAGGCGTAAAATATCAGTGTTTGAACCCTATGCATAGACATTACTCTTATTTTTGGATCTATAACTCATAAGTGGACAGATTTATAAGGTTAATGCAGATTATTTGTACCAAAATCCTGCCTGTGATAATTAGGATAATAGGCAGCGGCCAGCCTCTTCCAGAAGATTGGCTAGGCTGATTGTGAGGCAACTCATGTTTGATATCTAAGGCATAACAATGGAGATCTGAAACCAGGAACATATATCTGAGGTGTCCCATCGCTGTGGGAGTGTGGTCTGCATTTTCGATCCCAACCCTGGGAGTAGGAGAGACACCTTTTCTGTGAATGTATCCCTTTTATTATAATACCTTCTATAGGAAATCAAGGAAGATCTCCCCAAACAAGGACAGACACTATGAAAACCTGACATTTTTAAACCTGAACTCCGGGCACAGAAACCTTAATTTTAATATATTGCTCAACAGCCACCAAAGATATAAATCTGCTTTTAGTTCAATAATGCATTTATAACCTGTCCAGAAAGCAGAGTTGTGGGAAGGGCCCTGCAGGCTCCACACAATACAGAAAACTACAGGAGGGGGCATAGACAAGACCACTCACTCTGCACAAGAAGAAAGAGTAGCAGTGACTGGTCTCTATTACAGGAAGCTCTTGCACAGAGAGAAAGTATAACACTGGATTACTGCACACATCTGGCGCAAAATACACGATGGACACTAAAGGCTAAAGGGCCAATGTACAAACCCTTTGCCCAGCGTAAAGCTGGTTGAATGCCATTCGCAAAGCATTATTGCCACTGGACAGCACCAAGGAGCAATGCCAATGCTCCTTGGCACCATCTAGTGGTGGCAATGCTGTGCAAACAGCATTCTCCCAGCTTAACACTGGGTGGAAGGTTTATACATCAGCTCCCAAGAGTCAAGTAAGAAAACACATGCATCTTTTATTCATAAGACACACATGAATAAAGCAGTGTAACTATTAAAACATCATTACATATATTATTATAAATGCCAGCAGTGCCAGTACCTGAATTCAACTTGGTATACCAAGCAGTACCCATAGCGAGTCCATTGTAAGGCAGTGCAAAGAGCATGGCAATAAGGAGGAGAGGGCAGAGTGACAGAGAGATGAGCCCATCAGTGTGCTTCATCTCCTTCACGGTCCATTCACAGGTTGCGGGAGAATAGGGATGGGGGGCATCTGTTGTCTGCCACATACAATGCTGTTTTAACACCTCTCTCTGGGCAGGTTAATAACACCTTCTAACTCCAATTATGCAAATGTATCAACACCTGGTTGTGACTAACAGATTATGTGGATTGGAGCGACATTCACCGTATTTATTCCCAGTACAAGTCATTCTGAATTCAGAAAGCTGGTCGGATGACCAGTGAAACGTAATACAGAAAACTACAGGAGGGGGCATAGACAAGACCACTCACTCTGCACAAGAAGAAAGAGTAGCAGTGACTGGTCTCTATTACAGGAAGCTCTTGCACAGAGAGAAAGTATAACACTGGATTACTGCACACATCTGGCGCAAAATACACGATGGACACTAAAGGCTAAAGGGCCAATGTACAAACCCTTTGCCCAGCGTAAAGCTGGTTGAATGCCATTCGCAAAGCATTATTGCCACTGGACAGCACCAAGGAGCAATGCCAATGCTCCTTGGCACCATCTAGTGGTGGCAATGCTGTGCAAACAGCATTCTCCCAGCTTAACACTGGGTGGAAGGTTTATACATCAGCTCCCAAGAGTCAAGTAAGAAAACACATGCATCTTTTATTCATAAGACACACATGAATAAAGCAGTGTAACTATTAAAACATCATTACATATATTATTATAAATGCCAGCAGTGCCAGTACCTGAATTCAACTTGGTATACCAAGCAGTACCCATAGCGAGTCCATTGTAAGGCAGTGCAAAGAGCATGGCAATAAGGAGGAGAGGGCAGAGTGACAGAGAGATGAGCCCATCAGTGTGCTTCATCTCCTTCACGGTCCATTCACAGGTTGCGGGAGAATAGGGATGGGGGGCATCTGTTGTCTGCCACATACAATGCTGTTTTAACACCTCTCTCTGGGCAGGTTAATAACACCTTCTAACTCCAATTATGCAAATGTATCAACACCTGGTTGTGACTAACAGATTATGTGGATTGGAGCGACATTCACCGTATTTATTCCCAGTACAAGTCATTCTGAATTCAGAAAGCTGGTCGGATGACCAGTGAAACGTCTTCAAGAAAAATACAGCAAGTCCAGTTGACTTATTTTTTTACAGATATACAAGACTGTAAATGCTTCTTAAAAGCAAAAAGAGATAATCAGTTCTCCGGCATGCCACGCGGGGCTGTGATATGTGGCAGAACTGTGTATTTTAAATCTAAGAACTGGATGAAATACAAATCTTTTGCTCGGTAAAACAGCTTTGATTTATTTGTCTTGAGTTTAGCTTTAAAGGTTTTTTCACCTGTATTTCTACCTGAACACCTCTTTTATCATGTAAAGCTCTGACATACGGTATTTTCCCACCCATAGGAAGAGATAAAACTGTTCGTATCTGTATCCGCCTACGCGCCAGGATCCTTTTTCTTTTTTAAAATAGTTTTTTTTTTTTTTTAGCCATTTTCATCAGTTTGTAATTCCGTGCAAAACCAGTTACAGGTCATTGCTGTGTAAGTGACCGTCATCTGTTTCTAGTGACTCTTTTTCTTTCTCTCAGATTGTGGAAAAACCGTCTCACATGCCACACAACGTATAATTGGAGGTTCGTTGGCCAAGCTGGGACAGTTCCCATGGCAAGTATACATAAAATTCGGTAGTTCCTCGGCAGCCGGTGCACTGCTCTCTGATAAGTGGATTATAACTGCCGCCCATGTGGTGCATGACACAGACCCAACGGAGTTCACTATGACAATGGGGATCATCAGTCGGAATGATAAAATTAACTATAAGGCTGTGGCAGAAGCCTTCTATATTCACCCCAGTTACAGAAACGATGAACCATACAACCACGACATCGCTCTGATTAAACTCAAAGACAAAGTACCGATAAATGAAAACATCCTCGGGATCTGTCTCCCGACCAAAGACGACAGATATCGGATCAGTGAAGATGAAAATGATCACCACGTGGGGCGAGTAGCTGGCTGGGGTATCACAGAAAAAAATGTAATTTCAAGATATCTGCGCTTTGTGGAGGTGGACATCATCAACCACGGACAGTGTGTGCGCGCGTATACTCAAAAGAAAATCAAAGTTAATGTCACTGAAAACATGATCTGTGCCGGTAGTGAAGAAGGAGGAAAGGATTCCTGCACTGGTGACGCTGGAGGCTCACTGGTTTTCTTTGATGATAAAAGCAACCATTGGTTCATTGGTGGGATTGTTTCCTGGGGGTTGGAGTGTGGGGCTAAAGATAGTTATGGAGTCTATACCAAGGTAAGCAACTACCTTGACTGGATACACAATATTGTCCAGAACAAATAAAGATCATTTACAATAAAGTACTTAAAAATGCATTTTTGTTGTGTAAATAATTTACTTCTCAATATAATGGGCTCAGGCAGTACTCCGAAGGGGGCTGTACAGTTGATGTACACAGGGCTGGATTAACATAGGGGCTATTGGAGCACCAGCTCCAGGCCCACCACTGAAAATAGGCCCGGCCTGCCACAATTGCCTTGGTATGCTCAATGACAATCCGGGCCAGCCGGGTTGAACACAAATCAGGCAGAGGTGCCTGTGGCTCTCTAATCAGATTTGCCTGGGTTGTCCCTCCCATTCTGTGTCCTGAACTTTGTCCGGTGCTGTACAAAGCTCCGCACACGGATTGGGAGGGAGAGGTGGACAGAGAGTGATGCTTTCCTGGCAACAATACATGTTATCCTCCCCCTGCTTCCCGGGTGTCACCCGGCTGTCCTCTCAGCTGCTACATACACATTGCCAGCAAAACCCGCCCTGCCTCCTCATGAGCAGTACACCTGGAGCCATCCTCCCTCCCTGTGCTCGGCATCGTGCTCAGCATTCCTCCACTACAGAACAAGCCCCCCCCCCAATAGCATAGGGGAGGTGTTCTGCAGTTTACAAAGATAAACTGAGTAGGGATAATAACATTGGACAGCACTGGATTTCTGGCAGGATCGACAGGTATTTTTTTGCACTTATTGAACAGATATAACAAAACACTTTCAATGCCATATTTCACAGACCAAAAGGAGGCAAATAGAAGTTTATTGCTATGGCTTACATACACTTCAAGAAAAGCTAGTGTAAAAATAGTCCAAGCACTGATACTGTCATCCCAGTCCTTTATTTAAACCAGAGAAAGATATAGGATGTCATTGTTAGTGTTTTCATGCAAATAAAAGCTGTATGGCTGGGTCTGGCTGCTATACTTCTGACTCAAGAGACCCGGAGAATAGTCAGCATTCCTTATCTCTAGTTCCGGGTCAGTGCCTTAGAAAGTATTGAAGCTAAAGCACCAGCAGAAGAGCCAGGCAACTATTATTATCAGAAGTACGTAAGATAACACATACATCTTGGTGGGTTAGGGTAATAGTTACATTGTTACATAGTATTTGAGGTTGAATAAAGACATTAGTCCATCAAGTCCAACCTATTAGGATCTCATTCTAGGAGTACCTGTACCCCTGTATATTGCGGTCCCTTAAGAAATCGTCTAAAACATTTGTGACATTTATATACAATTTGAATAAGCCCCAATATGTTGGACTGTAATGGTACCAAACAAGCGTTAGTAAAACCAGTTACATTTTATATAATGTTCACTAAAAATTCAAAAATAAACAATTTCATTAAACATTCCATCAGAATGGGACAAAAACAGAAAAAAGTTATCTGAGGGCTGTCCTCAGTCTACCACTGGAGCAGCTCGATAAAACTTCATCATGATTTTTTTGTTACCAGAACATACACCTCAATATCATAGAAGCTAGGGATGCACCGATACCAGTTCAGATACCAGTGCCGATACCAGTGCAGATACTTGGCATTTTCATGAGAACTACCAGGGTTGCAGCTGGGACCTGGCTCTGGCGCTCCACCACTGTCCTGAAATAATTAGTCTGTATTGTTTTAGAAAAACTGTCACATGACAATAAACAAAAATGTATCAGTACTTGTATCTGTGGGGACTTGGATGAGTATCAGTACTTTTACTTGCAAAACTGGTATCGGTGCATCCTTTTATTTATAAAAACGAAATCGTACATTAAAACAGAGATGTGCAAATCCCAGGAGCTCCGTGTGCTCCTTACAAATGACAGCGGCCTCCTAACTTTTGAATTTTTCTCTAGTCTAGTCTTGGAGGTCGAAAAGGTATCTGTACTTGTACTTGTACCGAGTGCGGTACTTGGTATCGGTGCATCCCTAATAGAAGTCATGAGCATAGCCAAAAATCAGTGTACAGTAAAAGCTGCCACTTCCAGTGGAGTGAGGATGGCCCAACTCCTTTCTCAGGACACTCTCTAGCCTGCTTCACCAGCAGACACTGACAATATTTATAACACTAGAATCTACAAATGATCAGAATTGATACAGTGTGAGCATGACCC